TTAATGCCTTTAGGCATTCTCTCCCAGTCAACCCGGGACGTGTGGAAATTAGGTGATAGGTGACAAAATAAAATGAACAATAGAGTAAATCAAGGAAAAAAAAAACTACTGATAAACTTAAAAATAAACTAATATTATATATATAAATACAATAAACTTATATACTATAAAATATAATACAGACAATATATTATATTTACATACAAATATATAGGTACATAAATATATACATATTATAAATACAAATACATATATAACATAAACCTATAAATAAAATAACAACAAAGGTAACCAAATTGACCATACTAAATATCATTAAAGTGCTTGTGTACCAATCTTTTAAAGGCAGTCTTATTAGATGTATTTCTGACGTCATCGGGCAAGGAGTTCCAGAGCAGTGCAGCCTGAATGGTGAAGGATTTACCAACAAAATTAGTAAAATGTAGTGGGATACTTAGTTTATTATTATATGAGGACCGCAGAGTTCTTTCATGCGTTGAGGAAATATACTGAAATTTCTCCTTGAGATAAGAAGGAGTGGATGGATCATTTAAGAAGAGAACAAGCAAAATTCTAGAGTCACGCCTCTGTTTAATAGTGAGCCATTTAAGGCGAGAGCGATAGTGAGAGATATGATCAAATTTACGAAGATTGAAAATGTATCTGACGCAATTGTTGAGTAGGCGCTCTAGCTTGTTAAGAAGATTTTGGTTTAAATCTGAGTAGCACACGTCAGCATAATCAATGATTGGTAGTATAAGTAACTGTACAAGCATAATTTTAGTCTTAGAGGGGAGAAAATTTTTCAAGCGATGAAGAGAACGTAAAGACCCTGAGACTTTACGGCATGTTTCGGAGATATGAACCCCCCAAGACAGAGTACTGTCAATATGGAGACCAAGATTTTTAACTGAGGAAGAGAACGGTATCAGACGATCATTATAATAGACGGGGGGTAGGCTAGCGGCATCTATTTTTGCAAGCATCCTTGAGCTACCCATAATCACCGCTTGGCATTTCGTAGGGTTGACAGATACTCCAAAGCGCATGGACCAATCACGGACTGACTTGAGATTGGAATTCAATTTGTTAATTGCATTGTGGATGTCACAAATGTCAGACTGTACATAAAATTGTAGGTCATCAGCATACAGATGGTACGAACATATATATATATATATATATTAGATATGAAACGGATATCCGGTAACTATCCGGTATTCGGCCTATCCGGCCTAAATTACTATCCAGCCGGATACCGGATAACAAACGGCTATCCGGCCGGATACCGCATTTAAATAAATTCAAAATATCAAATTTAGTTAAGTACTTTATTTATATCACTTAACTCAGTAATCACATAATTTTCATTATAAAACTTAGAAAATTTGTACACGTACTGCATACACTAAGTGCAAATTATTGTGAATAATTACTTATTTGTAATTTCCCTGCATTGAAAGGTAACAAACGGTTCCTGTCTTTATAAACAAATATGAATGTCACAATCGCGTGCAATTCGCCCTGACTAGATAAAAATCATTAACAATGACATTTTTAAGTGTTCCAATAGAATTTCCTTGTGAGCTCTTTCCGCTTCACCACTCCTAAGTAGTGTTTATTTTGAGCAATTTAAGTGGCAATCAAGTATTTAGAATCTTGACTTGAAACGACTTTTTAATTTATCCTCAAACGATCGCGTTTGCAATCAATACAATAAGTCAATGGCTAACTTCGCTTATGAACGGAAAGACCCGAAGTTGCCTGAGTCCCGCGTGCACACGATTGCCACCACTAACGCCACCTACGCAAGTTCGCTTGTTGCGATGCACCAAACAGCAATTTTTGGCAGAATATCCGGCGGCCGGATATCCGGCTATCCGGCGATAAGACTGGCCGAATATCCGGTATCCGGTATCCGGCCAAACAGCTATCCGTTTCATCTCTAATATATATACACGTATATAGGAATTTCCAAATTTTTACTGGATACGAGTAATTCAATTTTAGTCCTCAGGGTTGACACCGCACCTGTATTTTCATTTTTAATCGAGGAATTATTGTTTATTCTATTGTAAATGTTTTATATTTCAGATGCATCGTGGTTCAAAAGCAATCAGGAACTCATGGTGATAGTACTGAAGACGGTGATGATGGTGACGACCTAGGAGACCTCTGAGCCTAGGGACTTCAAGCCCCATAGGAAACGGGTTAAAGACCTGCTGGAAAACATACGTCACTATGTAGAGGTAAGGCAACTGTTCATTTATTTTAAAAAGTTAAGGAGAGAATTTGAATAGTGAAATAATTAAAAATTAAAAATTTTGTACAACCGACTTCAATATAAATTATTAAGAATAAATCAAAAACTATTAGTCAGACCTTGATAAAATTTATATGGGACCATATGTGAAGCACCGGCTTTCAAATAAAAAAAAGAATCATAGAAATCGGTTCACCCAGTAAAAAGTTATGAGGTAACACACATAAAAAACATACAGTCGGATTGAGTACCAGCTCCTTTTTGAAGTCGGTAGATAAAAGAATGTATTACCGATTTCCAACGTTAGATGTCGTTAGTGTTGACTATGCAAAATGGCTGAAATCTTATGGCCTCCTGAAAGATTGCATTATATAACAATGACCGGTAACAGGAAGGTTTATCCTATTTAATCTGCCATATTATTTTAAGACAATGTCAAGTTTTTTTTTATATATCATGGGTCTATGTAGCAGCTATATTATGGTAGTAGAACTAATAAGTTGTCTCGACCAGGAAATGACCTCGATCTCACAAAATATCAGGGTAATAAGCAACATTATGCTACTGTGTTTTATATTGTGAGTGTAAAGAAGCGTAAACTCTTTTTAGTGGAAACGAGGCATTGCATGTTAGTCCTCAGGGGTGACAACGCATCCGCATTTTAATACTTGCAGTGTAGTGGTGGTGTAAGAATATCCACTACTCCATATCGTACCGAGGATGTCGTAAGAGGAGACAGGGGGAAAAAAATTAGGACATGGGCAGCAGCGTTTTCCTGACAACAGCTCAAAATTATAAAAAAAGCAACCGCATTTTTCCAAGCGTGTGATCGTCTGTCACTGTTATTCTATAACAAAAAAACTATTGGTAAATCCAATTGTGCATGCCCTAAGCGCATTAAAAAAATGACGAATAACATGATTATACGTAATTTTTTTTAATAGTTTAAATTTAAATACACACAAGTTTTCACTAATAAGTACCTAATAAACTTATTATTATATATACTACCAATTTTCCAATAATTTTATGTCAAAATTCAATTTAAAAAAAGTTTGTAAAATCCAAAAGTGCACGACTCATTTATTACAAGGCTGATATAACACCGAAAATTTCCGGATATCTACGCCGAAAAAAATTAATTATAACTAAACAAAGAAAAAATTAAACTGCAATTTACATTCCATGGCTTCCCACATGATAGATGAAGAGATTTAAAATAGATTGAGTTAAACAATTGATATTTTCAAAAGTTATCGTGCTTACCACACCATGCGGACTAAATAAATCTACGCCATAAGCCACTAAAACCACTTTTTATGTAAAATAGCAATTAATCCTTTTAAAAAAATATATTAATAAGTTCAGCAATCATTTATCTTTCTGTCAATGTGCTTTTTATATAATTATACGTTCAATATGTATGTTAGGTACGATTTTATGCGACAAAACCCGCTTTGTGCTTAAGGCATGCAAAACATATGTGAAAGGCTTTTTTCAGCACCACACTTTTAATAGGCTCTGATTTAGTGGTGATGAATGATTATTTTTAAGATTTTCCAGAAACTTAACTACCTTATTTTATTAAATCTACAATATACAGTGGCGTAGTATGAGGGCGGGTGGTGCCATGATCCCGGGCGGCAGATTTTAGGGGGTATGACAAGAAAGAAACATCATTACAGGCTTTTAACTACAAAACACGTCCAGAATAGGGTAACTCCATACTCTATCTTCGACAGAAAATTATTGATTTCTATAAAAGAATGCAAATAATGACTCATTTTCTACTTTATATAGAAATAAATAATAAAAAAATAAAATTTATTACAGCGTCATCTCTGTGCTTATAGTACGAACTAGCAACACAAGAAGTGCTAACACAATGTGACCATAGACTAAAGCGTAATACACTATAAGGTGAAAGCTCAGGGTGGCCCGCGAAATTAAAATTTTCTTGCGTTTTTTGGAATTTGCAGGTCAGGGTTCAGGTTGAATGTTTAATAAAATATGATTCGCGACCGTAACGAGTATGTGTTTATAGAATTATTATCATTAAAATCACCAATACAACCCTCTAAGTTTGGTGACGCGTGGTTCAAAATTGGAATAAAGTGGACTGTAATAGGTAGTTGGAATTGGATTTCGTTGAAATTTGCAACCGACACATAAAACTGAAGGTACGTACCTGGAGAACGCCGTCAGCTTCTTTTCTTACTTGAGGTTGACACTCGCGTGGTACACTCCTAGTTTTCTTGCGCGATTTACACTTATTTTATACAATTCACGGCCGTGATTTTAAGCGTATGATAATTAAACAGATATGCGAGTCGCGAGCGTGACACAATATGCTTCCGCGTGCGGGCGTGTTCTTACTTAGACTTCTCCTTCTACCCGATTGTCGGTCGCAAGAAGGAATTAGTAGAATAAATGAAGGTATTATAGAGGAAATCTGATTCGTCGATAAGATTGACCAAAACGCGGAATAATTTAATTTGAGTAATGGCGGTAACATTTCCCCCGCCCTTAAAGGGTCGCCTTTAAAAGAAAATAATAATAAGATGCGATAAATACAATTAATACTTACTAAAACTAAGCGAATACAAATATATATATATATATATATATATATATATATATATATATATATATATATATATATATATATATATATATATATATATAATATTATATTACATAGATGTAAAGATGTAAGATGTGAGCGATGTAGAGTTTATTATTGTGTAGGTAACGGACACAAGCGCACCACTGGTCGCACGAGTGTACCCCTTGCCGTTTTTACTGTAGCGACACGAACTATACCGTCCTTAGACGGGTGAACCTTTACGATCACTCCCAAAGGCCAGGAGAGGGTCGGTGAATTATCATTTATAATTATGACAACTGTGCCCACCTTTACGGGGACCGAGCATTGAGTCCATTTACGCCGCGCCTGCAGTTGATGCAGATATTCAGTTCTCCAACGACGCCAAAAGGATTGGACTAATTTATCTAAGAGTGTATGTCGTTGAAGTAAATTAATTGGCGAAGATTCCACATCAGGTGCAGGTAGAGAGCGCAATGGTAACGTATTCAAAAGTGTGCGGGTGTTAAAGCCGTCGGTTCAGCTGGATCGGAGCTAAGCACAGTGAGAGGACGAGAGTTTAGTAAACATTCTATTTGAGCGAGGATTGTGATTAACTCCTCATACGCAAGGATCTGCTGTCCAATAACCTTATATAGATGGTTTTTTACACATTTCACCATACTCTCCCAACAACCACCGAAATGTGGGGCGGCAGGCGCTATGAACTTGAATTCAATGTGACTTTCGGCCAATTCTTCTTCTAAACGCGGGCGGTATTCCTTTGTGACAAAATTATATAAATCTCGTAGATAAGATCGAGTGCCTATAAAATTTGTTCCACGATCAGAGTAAAGACATTTCACGGGACCCCGTCTCGATAAGAAGCGCTTTAAAGCTGCGATAAAACTCACAGTGGAAAGATCCGTGGCTACTTCGATGTGGAGTGCGCGCGTAGTAAGACAAGTAAATATGCATAGCCTTGCGAGTTTTAACACCTCGATCTCGTATGGGCGTATACAATATAGGGCCGCAATAATCACAGCCAGTATGAGCGAAAGCTTTCTCCGCTTGCGTGACTCTATGTCCCGGCAGAGCAGACATTAAAGGAAATCGCGGGCGCGGTTTTAATTTAAAGCAAGTGTTACACTTATTAATTCTAGACCGAATAATTCGTCTAGCGGACAAGATCCAAAATCGTTGTCTTAACAAAGACATGAGCAGCTCTGGGCCGGCATGTAAATATTTCTTGTGATAGTAGTCGATCAAAGACTCTACAAGAGCGTCATGACGCGGTAAAATAATCGGAAATTTGTATTCTGAACTTTCAGCGGAGTTGGTAAGGCGGCCACCAACGTGGATGAGGCCATCGCATAAAAATGGCTTAAGCTTCATTAGCGCGGGCGAGCAATTACTACCGGCTCCCAGCTGTCTAATGTCGAATGCAAAATGTCTTTTTTGAATATCGCCTATTATCATATGCTCTGCGGCGCTTATATCGAACGCGGTAACTGCTATCGAACCGGAACGGGGTAGTTTATTTATAAATCTGCAGACATAAACAAGGATACGCGTGAGTCTACTCCAGGAGGAGATGCGTTTATTAAGATCTTGAACTAAGGACGTTTCTGGTTCTGACGTAGTAATGGGGTGTGCGGTTATTTTCTCTTTCGGTACGTTGTCTAGCGCTATAGTATTATGGTCTGTATTAGTGATAGGCCACAGTGAGAGGTCTTGCGCGAGCCAGGACGGACCTTGTGACCATAATGGATGAGATATTAGCCTTTCGGGTGTAAGACCTCTCGATAAACAATCAGCTGGATTATCTATTCCCGCAACGTGATGAAAATTAGCGGCTGGTAAATTGTCAATAATCTTGACGACGCGGTTAGCGACAAAAGTTTGCCAGCGGTGCGGAGAAGAGTTTATCCAACAAAGTGTGACCATTGAGTCTGTGAACGCGTACATATCACTAATATGATAGCGTGAATCGTAGGTGTCATGCACGCGTTTAATTAGTCTTGCCAGTAATTCGGCAGCACAGAGTTCGAGACGTGCAATAGACAAAGGCTTCATTGGTGAGACCTTTGACTTGGCGCAGACGAGTCGCGTCGTAACCTGGCTTGCTTGAGTAATATGGGCGTATACCACTGCTCCATAAGCACGCTCACTAGCATCAGAAAAGCCGACCAGTCGTACAACGCAATGTTCGAAGACCCCCAAATGTCGCGGTATTTTGACGTCATTGAGTAGCGGTAACTCTATACAAAACCTTTTCCAGGTTTCGACTATTTGCTGGGGCGGACAATCGTCCCAATCAAGTTTCAATAGCCACAAATCCTTTATGAGAAGTTTAGCGAAGAGAACAACAGGCGCTACGAAGCCCATTATGTCCCAAATTCTAGCTACAGTGGCTAAAATGATTCGTTTTGAACACCTTTCGTCAAGCTTGGTTACTTTAAATTCAAAACAATCGCAAGATTTATCCCAACTCAAGCCCAAAATTTTAAATTGAGCGGTTTTATCAAATTCAAGAGGTTCAGACATCTTATATGACGAAGGCAGAGCGCTTAAGACCGAGTCGGAATTACATGTCCATTTTACTAAATCGAACTGCGCACGTTTAAATAACTCAATCAGCTCATTAGCAGCTGATGCAGCTTCCTCCTCCGACATAACACTAAAAACGATATCGTCCATATAGATATAGCGAGAAGCAATTATCTTTGCTAACCGAAATGAATCTCCATCATCCGCAATGAGTTGCTGAATGACACGGAGCGCGTGATACGGGCTGGACCTAAGTCCAAAACAAACCCTATTAAATTCATATTCGGTAAGTTCTTCTTGCGGGTGAAAACGATATAACATGCGTTGAAAGCGACGATCGCGCTTATTCATTATAATTTGAAGGAACATCTGTTTACAATCAGCGGAAAGCGCGGTAGCGAAAAGACGAAAATTTAAAATAATTGCAAACAGATCACCTTGTAAATTGGGACCACTATGGAGAATATCGTTCAGTGAGCGGCCTGAACTCGATTTATGACTCGCGTCGAGAACCATGCGAAGTTTAGTAGTGGTCTTATCTGTACGCAAAACACCGTGGTGTGGTATGACGTAAACGGGATAGCAGTTATCACTGTCAACAAGCGGCGCGGGTGACAGATAGCCCTTTTCTAAATATTCGTGGATAACTGAGTCATACGCGGCCTTAAACTCAGGAGCGGCTTCAAACTTCCTCTCTAACATCAGAAAACGTTTCCGAGCGGTTTCATAAGTATCACCAAGCGAAAATATATCATCTCGGAAAGGCAACGATACTATGTATCTGCCCGTTTCTTTGTCACGTTCAGTAGTTTCGCGAAAGAAATGCTCACACTCTATCTCAGCCGGGGACTGAGTGGGCGGAGTTCTCAAAGGAGATTCATCTATTTGACAAAACCGTTTTACCAACGTATCTAGCGGGTCTTCCTCGGCGTGTGCGGGTAATGTACTACAACACGTTAAGGTTACGTTTTCGCGAGCGGGAAGAGCGGGCACAGTGCCCATAATTACGTAACCAAGCGTTGTTTGTATAGCTGGCGGTACAGCAGAGTTATCCCTTACTATACCGGCAATAAAATTTGCGAAAATAAAGAAGCACCGATCAGAACATCGATCTGTGATGGCTCAAAGAATTTTTCATCGGCCAACGGCAAATCTTGTAAGAAAGACATAGCGGATGCGTTGACAGGCATAGACGGTAAGTCATCTGTTATTCTATCGACGACGAGCGACGAAATATTATATCTTATGTTAGGGTTAAAACGAGAAGTGAACTGGAATGCTACAACTCCCTTTGCGTATTTTTCTGAACCCCCTATACCCTTTACCTTTATGTTGTCTTTATTTACTAATAAACCTAATCTATCACAACATTCCGACGTTATAAAATTGCTCTGTGATGTACTATCTAATAAGCAACGCACACTACGGCTCGTGCCATACGCGTCGGGTACCATAACCGCTGCAGTGGATAGCAGAACCGTAGTGTATACATTGCGTGTAAATAAATCTTCGGATACGCGGATTCGGATATAGATGGGGTGGTCGGCTGACCGACTGCTAGTACTAAGGTTGCACAATGACTAGTCCTATATTAGGGACTTATCATAGTAAGGTCTAACGAACCAAAGCATTAATATAGAAGGTCTCTATGATGCATAAGCATTATGATAGCAGAGTTATGACTTGAAGTCCCATATGAATAAGACATACAATAGTATGGTCTATGAAATAAAGCAAATATGTGGAAGGTCTCAAATATGTAAAAGCATTATATTGAAAGAAATGGGACTTGAAAAGGATTATTATAGTGGCGTGTAGGTTGCTTCGCAGCCTCTGAGACCGAGGTAAACTTGGACTCACTAACCGATGTGTCCTAGACATATCATCTTAGTGCCGTAAGCGAGTAAGCGGGTTTGTTGTAGCAATACGACTTGCCCGTGGACATCGCACACCCCTACCGGTTGTGGGCGGCGTCTTAGCGCATAGCGTTATGATACGTCGGCTATCTTTCGGATTAGGGTGAGTGTGTTTGGTAGTACTTTTAAGTGCAGCAAGCATACTCAACTTCATGTCTTAGTGCAATAGCGCTATGATACGTGGAGTTTTGGCTACTGACGTCTTAGTACCGTACTACTATGATACGTTGGTGGTATTTTTAGGTAACAACATTATCAAATTTTGTTACCAAAGTCGATAGGGATCATGTGGGTGTGTTGTGAGGGGGCGCCATCCGTATGATAGTTGCATTGATGCTTACTGCTACTTGCAGTATTGTGTCTTGTGATGGATCTGCGGGTGTGCTGCACCTGATTCGATGCATCTTGTGGTTCTGGTCGATGGAGGTATGCGGGTGGTGATGTCTGCTGGGACTGTATGGGGGACCTTGGGATGGTGTAAGCCCGACGATAGTCGTATTGATGCTTGTTGCATTCTGTAGCATTGCGTCTCTACGATGGTTGTTTGGCGGGTCGCTATTCTCAATGGCGCTCTCTGCGTCTTGGTTTGACTCACAACCTAAGTAGCTTTGCCCAAGTCGGGTCCCTTCATTGCGGGGCTGCAGACTGTCTGCCCTCCATGATGTTTTATATAACAACTTAATAATATATCTCTATAAAGTTCCCACCTTTGAGAGATTGAAGGCAACTTGTTGGTGGGTGAGACAAACATGATCGAAAAATGCATATACTCAACGTCAGTGACACAAACCCTTTCTGATGGCGAATTATTAATATTATCTTATAACTGCCTATTGGCTATATCTGCCATTGTATTGGTTGGTGGAGCATATGTGTTGACCTCATGCGGGTGGTAGCTGGAGGGAGAATCTGAGGAGGCTCTCAAGGCTGCGGCCGAAAGCCGCGCAACGTGGGACCCCATTCCCTTGAGGTGAGCGGTAGACTCATGACACGCTCTGCGGCCAATTGGCCGTGCTAACCATGCAATTGGTGGTGATGCCTTACACTTACATCACGTCTGCAGGAACGGCGGTTTGGCAGGTGGTGGCGCTCACGGAAGGCTTTTTATGGTCAGTGTGCCGATTGTTGCCTAACCTGTGTGACGTACATTTCACTGTGGCTGGATTTGATCGTATTCTGTATGGCGTTTACACGCATTGACATGCGCGACTTCGGTCGATGTTTGTGCTTACGCACTATCAAGGGGCCAAGTCCTCTTTTACTGGTTCGCCAGTTATTTTGCTGTGGACTACGGTCCAGTTCCCAACTTTGCGTAACCTTCGGGGGGAGCGCATTAAAATGGTTGGCGCTCACCGTGCGCGGCGTGTGTGGGGCCGTGTACCTCCTCCACATTTTTTTTAAAATGTGGGAGAGCGAAGCCCTTGTAACTGGTATTTGATATAAATATTGTGAGCCTTTTCCAAGCGGGAAGGGATTAATTAATAAGGAATTGACTGTTGTGAACCAGATACAAGTGGAATAGGGACAATTTATTGTTCTTAACCTTTTTGAGCTCCGTCTTCGTGAACGGGGTTCTTTAGCTTATAAGACTCTACCAACAGCTTTCGATTGCTCTCGTGAATATTCATTCTTCTAAGATACACCTAAAACAACTAAGTGACTATACAAACACAACGTAAAAAAGGGTCCTAACTAAGACGATCACGCCATAAATTTATTAAACGGCCTATAATATTTAAACCTTTAGAAAGATCAAGTTATACTGGTCACGTAAATTAGATATATTTATATATCTTACAGATATAGATTCTAAAGAAATACAAGTATAAGTGGATATATAGTAGAAAAGAAAAAAAAAAGATGGGGGGGGGGTTCGTTACAATTTGGTGCCGTGACCAGGATAGAGGTTAAATTTTAAATAGGAGGCCGGTAATATAAAATTATGAGGTAGGCTATATGCCTACAATTTGTTGTCCGTGAAATGGAGAGGTGTCTTGGAGAGTGGTGTTTGCTGGGGGTGGTTGAGAGTCTGGGGGTGGGGCTTAAATATTAAAATTGAGTAATAATATAGGAGGTGTGTGCATAACGGAGCGATATAATAAAAAGTGAAATAAGTGGAAAGACTCAATTAAACTAAGCGAAGGACACAACAGGTGTAAAAAAAAAACTGCAATACTATATATTATAAAGTGAAATAAGTGAAAAAACTCAATTAAAGTAAGTGAAGGACACAAAAAGTGTAAAAAAAAAAAACAAGTGGAAATAAAAATTAAAAATGACTAAAAATAAGAAAAAATCAACCTCAATTAAGGCTAAGTCTAAAGATGAGATGAAAGTGCTTCAGAAATTAATTAAGAATGCAGTGAAAACCTTTGAGGTTAAAATAAAGGATCTTGAGGAAAAATTTATTAACCAAACGAAAGATTACCAAATTAAAATAAATCAAGGAGAGGTGTCCGGGGCGAGCACCTCTCATGTAAATGATCCTAGACAAAATATTGTATGTAATGTACATAATGTAACAATAGAAAAGCCAAAATTTGGAAATGGAAATACTCATCCAATATCATTTTTGGAAGATCTCACCAATTATTTAAAGAAAGTTCCATCTAATGGTCTCGAAATTTCGATTGCACAAGAGTGCTTAGTAGGTGAAGCCAAGTATTGGGCTCGCATTAATAATGTGCGTTGGACAACTTTTGATGATTTTAAAGCTGACTTCCTAAGAGTGTTTTGGGGTGAAGAAGAACAAAATAAAGTAAAGAGATTCCTTGTGCAAAATAAATGGAATAGAAGTACACATCCCACCATGGTTAGTTATTTTCTTTATGTGGTTGAGAAGGCACAAACATTATCATATCCGATACCTGAAAAACAATTAGTAACTGATGTCATCAGACATTATCCTAAAACTGTGCAGCAATTATGGAGAATAGCTAAAATTGAGACAATAATAGACACGACAGATTTCTTAAGAAACTTAGATGACATCGACAAACAAGATGAAGGTCGTGAACCTTACTATAATGAGAAAAGGAGGAAGTTTAATAATAAAAAAAAACAAATTAAAAATTATCGGAACAAAAATTAATAATTTTTAATCTGGAGGTAGCCGTGGTTAACTATGACATTGGGACGTCATACACCTCAGTCCCCCCCGTGACCATGGGTGCTGTAAAGTGCTTGAAACGTCGGGAAAGTAAAATAAGTTAATATACGCGATAAAATCCGTAAAATTAGTTTTATTTAAATGAAATGAGAATTTTAGGCTATCATAGTAAAGCCTTAAAAGGCCCCGAATTAAATTGGTCTGTTACTGAACAAGAGTTTTATGCTGTAATAAGCTGCAAGTATAAGTGGATATATAGTAGAAAAGAAAAAAAAAAGATGGGGGGGGGGGTTCGTTACAACTTGTATAAATGATCATGCACAATATCCCTGCACAAACATTTGTATGTATCGGCCATAGCGACATAAGATTGCGGTTGTGGAACTTTTGCGGTGGGTCGGTGATTCGGGTTCGAATTCGAGGTCAAACTCGAATGATAAGAGCGCTGTAATATATTAACTTGTTCCTTTACATAGTCGGTTAAACTTTTAAAATTAGGAATTTTATCCTTTCGAGAATGCATTTCAAAAGAACGAACTGTTTCGGGGTCCAACTTTTTTAAGGCGGTATGTAATATAATAAAATCAGTTAGGTCAGGTATTTGTAAGTTTTTTAATGCGCTAACAGCGGATTACGAACGTATGTAAAAATAATTCTAGGTTTCGAGCAGAAGAGTTAGAAACTGGTTTAAAGTCAAAAATTTGATTGATATAGGTCGATGCTAGCATGCGTTTATCATCGTACTTCTCTATAAGCGCGTTCAAAATAAGTTCATAATTCTCAGCACAAGGAGTAATACCGGCGAACACAGAATGCGTTTTGATTGTTAATTTACCTAGCAGGTAATACAATTTATCGGCGTCTGATAGGGACGGGTTATCATGCACAGTGGATTTAAAACTTGCATAAAATAAAGACCATGAGCGTATATCACCATCAAACGACGCTAGCTCTATAGGCGGTAAAGACGGTCGCGA